ATATATATATATATATATATATATTTGGGAGATTCTTTTTTTATCTGTGACTATCATGGCTTTATTTCCCTGAAGTGACAAAGTGGAAAACCTCCATAATGCCCAGCAAACCAGACCGGCATATGTGTGAAAGATAAACCAATGCTATCTCATCTAATGCAGTCTAGATCTAGTTGTGGAACCCTGTGAAATATTGGCTGTTTTAACTTTGTTTTTGAATTTTTTTTTTATGATCTTTGTTTTCTCACAGAAGCCCCTTTGTACACTCTGACCTGCCTTGTCTTTATCTGTCCTGAAACTTACCTGAGTCTTGAGGTTTGCCAACTGCTTGTAGTGATTGCTGCAGTACTGAGTCTGCCCTGTACAGTGTGGGATGCTTCTCTGCAGTGGTGCAGTACAGCACGGTAGATACAGTAGGACTGCCACCCAGTGGTAGATGCCCAACACATCAGATGATCTTCCCTCTAGTGGAAGCTGATGAGACATTCAATTTCAAAATGCACATTTTGATACAGATCGAAATGACTGCATAATGAATTTATAAAATCATTGCTACAATTTCCATAGTTAAAACAACATCAACATAATATAAATAGTGTTTAAATTGTTGCTAATTGCTTTAGATAATGCTATTAATTGTTTACAAATATACATACTGTTAACTCCAGTGCCCATTTGACATTTTATCTACATTTAAAAAAGAGGTGATGTGTATAAGTTTACACTAAATATTTTAGGAAAAGGATACACGCAGCAATTTGTACAAACATGAATCCTTTATCAAATTGCTCTGTGTTAGTGTTACTGTCACATTACTCACTAAAATAACAAAGAGTTATGACTGACCAGATTACTCAGAGTTAGTATTGCTCTTACTGCCAGAGCGGCTGAAACTCAAACTGCCAATCCAAGAGTCTCACGTCTGCTGTTGTTACTACACTACTTACTACAATGACACACAACATATTTAGTACACTTACACCACAGTAATTATGTTGTATTACCATCTACCGCTCTATTAATGGTATTTCAGTACTAAACTGTAGATGATATTGCTCTATACTCCTTCTGTATTTCTAGCAGCTGAAACTCACACTGCCAAGCCAAGAGTCTGACGTCTGCTCTCTGTTTCCCACATTCCACACAAATCAAAAGATCTAAACACTGATCTAATGTCAGTGTAGTTCAGCAGGAAATTCAACTTTACTACAATCCTGATTCAAAGGGATGACAAATAAAAACGAGATGAAATAGGAGCGATATGTTATAATTCTGGCACTAACACAATTGTGTCCCTTGTCAGAATTTGAATAATTAGAATTGTTAGAATCATTTTAACTAAGATAGTGAACATCAAATTATTGTTAGCGATGCCAAACCGTGATGCATATTGTGACCTATTGTGTGTCAATATTATATAACATGCCTATAGCAAACTGCCTCCTATAGCTCTTGAAAGATATTATCTCATAGACCAAGGCTAGCTAGCTGGAGATTTGAATTAGAAGCACCAGCTAACACTGACCTTTGCACTGCAGTCCTGAATTTAAACAATTTTCAACAATGTTCTAGCAGCTGTTAATGTTATTTAGTCTTAATCAAAATAACAAATTCATATTTACACATTAAACACTAATGTTATACGAATTATAGTCTTTTGTAGTAAGTCGATACCTTGCAGCAAATTACTATATTTTGCTTACATCGGCACAGTAGACTTCTGCAACCCCAGGTGTCCTCCATCAACGTTCCTCTGATTATTCAGCTGTTTGTCTGTGTTTGTGACCATGTTGCTCATGCTCCCTTCATGACAATGCACCTCAAACTTTTGACTTGTTGAAAAAAAAAATGCATACTGGAAATAAAATGTTTGAAATTCCCACAGCACTGTTGAGTCTCATTGTGTCTTTATCCGCCCTTAGAGAATGCTCATCCAGTCCAATAGCTGGTAAAGCAAGCAAACACTCAAGTCTAGATTTGGGTTACGCTGGCATATTAAGTAACATGACCAAAAAGAGCCAATTTACAATGTGTGCATTGGCATGTTGGAAAATCTGTGTTGTTTTTTTATAGCAACAACATAAGAACTGCTTTATTAATGGCTAATGCATATCTATTTCTAATTAACTGATTTAAGCCAGATAAAACCTTCATTTTATTTATTTGCACCTCTCAATTCAGTTTTCATATTGTGTCATGTAATGCATGACAGATGGAATAAATAATCACATATTTCAAGATTTCACACAATGGGTCATAGACCTACTTGGGGCTACAAGTTTTCAACTGTATGTGAGATGACTGACTTCCCCACCAGAGATGAGTCCAATGAGCATGGTGTAATCCGTGAACTTCAGGAGCTTGACGGACTGGTGACTGGAGGTGCAGCTGTTGGTGTACTGGGAGAAGAGCAGAGGGGAAAGAACGCAGCCTTGAGGGGAACCAGTGCTGATGGTCCGAGAGACTGAGACATGCTTTCCCAGCTTCACGTGCTGCTTCCTGTCAGACAGGAAGTCAGTGATCCACTTGCAGGTGGAGTCGGGCATGTGCAGCTGGGAGAGCTTGTCCTGCAGCAGAGACGGGATGATGGTATCGAAGGCAGCGCTGAAGTCTACAAACAGGATCCTGGCGTAGGTTCCTGAGGAGTCCAGATGCTGAAGGATGAAGTCCCACTAGCAAGAAGACCTCTCACGTGCATTCAATATATGAAAGTTGAAAAGATTGTTAAAATGTACCTCAAGAACACAATTTTTTATTTGAATTCACATCACATCCATATCAACCTTGATTACCGATTTTCAAATGCAGACTTGGTGTCATATTCTGCATGATGTTAAAGGCCCACTGCTTCTGCGATAGTTAAGATAATATAAATATGCAATATTGCATATGAAAAGTTTGGTCTACAATGTAAACCAATTGCGTCTTTCCTGTTGTGTCGCCATCTGCTGGATGTGACCAGTTTTGATCTTGGTTATATGTAGTATGTCCTATGAGGCTGCCGTACTATGGCTAGATGTAAACAGTAAGTAATAGGCTCGTTCGAGATGAGCTGCGCCTCGCCTGGAAAGTATGCAGCAGCAGGGGGCGCTGAAAAAAACCTGCGTTCAAGTCGGACAGTTTTCAACTGCCTTCAAAGAATAAACAGGAAGTCAAAAAAACAGTTACATCCAGGCGTGTCCCATCATGCAGTCTGCGGAGCGCAACTGCGGCGTTGTTGTGAAAAACATAAGAGTGATGACCTTGGTGTGTCACAATTGTGGCCACTGCATGAAGTGATTTTGACTTGAGTGTGGAGTTCCTGTACGATGTAATCTATTAAATGGCTGCACATTGAAGTGCCTGTGCTCACCTGTGCTGACATGAGTCAAAACTATAATTTGGAGCCCAGGTTTACCATCTGGCAGTAGAGCAAAGTCATGACAACAACCACATTTTTGGTTTGGGTTTTGCTATTGATTTGTACCTTTTTGCATGTTGTTTGTAAAAACATAGCATCTGGCCTCTGGAGAAAATGGTGCTCTCACTGCATTCCCTCCTGTGGACGCTTCCATGCTTCTGTTGTCTCCTTGGGCTTTCTACACATGGGTAAGTCTAACAAACGGTATAGGGATTGAGTATGGACCCCTTTCAAAGGCGTATGGATATATTATCAATAAGGGGGAAAAAAAGTCTGGTCTGTAATACAGGAGGTTTGTACACAAAACACCACAGCTGACACCTCATGCCAGTGTGAACTATGACTTTAGCGTATAACTTAAGATGCGGCTGCTGAAAGCAGGGCACATTTTATCCTGCTCAGGGTTCAGCTTTTACCCTTGGATGAGTTTGCAGGAATGATAGTCTCAGTGTGTTTGGGACAGTGCGTGCTTGGTGTCAACAATCTAAAACTCATAGCCATTTTATTCGCAATGATATAAAACGGAGAAAAGCGGCAAATCCTCACATTTGAGAAGCTCGATCAAAAATAAAGGCCTCTTTCTAAGATGACATGTGTCATTGTGAGCTAGTTACAGTACAAAAAGCACAGGTGTCATTAATAATAAAGATGGCTCTGTTCTTTTCAAGTGTCCTAGTAAACCATGACAGTGACCCAACATGCACAATACCAGGACCCTGAAGCTAAAGCAGTTCAAATGAAATCAGCCATCATCACTTTGATTATTTACACTTGTGCTTATTATTATTTACACCCGTCAAAATGTGGTGAACAGGGCATGTTGATTATTGATTCCGCTCTAAAGTCAATAGCTATACTGAAAATGTTCATACAAAGCAATTTTGATTTGTGTCAGTTTAAAGTTCAAGAGAAGTGCGCTGTAAGCAGCAGCCGGGCGCTGTCCAGCTTATTGATTGGTTCACTCTCTGTGTCCTAAGCCTCCCATCCATCTGTATGTTACCTTAATTGCCTTGCAACTGGGAACTTGACAAGGATTCCACTGTCTGCTGTTACTGGAAACGGAGATAAATAAACCTGATCGACTGTCCCATTGATTACTTGTCCCATCTCTCTGTTGATAGGACCTGTGCAAGGAGAACATTGATATTGATGGGTGTGTGTGTGTGTGTGTGTGTGTGTGTGTGTGTACATACGTAAGACCCTCTCATCTAACAGTCCTCAGAGATAAATATGGCCAACACCAATGTTATCAATGCTACTTCCACAAATTGTTTCAGCAGCGCATCGTAGTCTGTCTCCCATGCGGGATGCTGAGTTCAGAAGCGGTTGTTAAAATGCACTTTAATTCAGTGCAAGCCAGGCCGGCTCATGAATCAGTCACCTGTTACCCTTTGCTTTTGAGTTTATTTGCTTTTGAGTTTATTCACTTGATGGAGAGTTTGACCTATTTTTCATATACAGTCTACACGATCGTGATCTATCTATTGCGGTCCATCTATTTATAAATATTTACTATTTACTGCTGGGACTGACGTTTGATTGCTCCATGACTACACACTCGTCAGTACTTTATCTTAATGTTCCCTTTATATAAGCTGTCCACTAGGGGGCGGTACAGTATAAAGCATTTTCAACAAGCGGTGCATCCTTTCACCCCAACTCAGCCTCATGCTGAACAAGCACGGATACAGAACCATATGGCATGTTTTGGGCTTGGTACCTCATCTCATGGGATCTTTTTGACTTTTATTATTTTGAAACATGCAAATGAAATGGGTTTATGAGTTTTATTTGCTGAATTATAGTTTGTGTCATTAATAATTTATGTCATCTCATTCAATAAAAACAATCTTAGAATATTACACATAGCCAGTGTTTTGAGAAAAATGCAATTTCTTATTTGCATCCCGATATTCCACGAACATGTTTGCAAAAGAAATGCATTTGTATTGTTTGAAAAAATAATTATTTTTTCATTTAATTGTATGTATTGAAATATTAGACCTCACACATTGTATTTGTAAAATGGTGGATCACAATAAACACTTTATTGAATACAAGTTTATCAGACATGTAGGCCTCATTTTTCTTCAAATAGGAAATTACAGTAGCGTTATTCCAGTGTTGTTTTTGCTGTTGTTTGGTGTTGAGGACCCCCTCACCTTGAAACTGACCAGGCATTTAGGGCGTGATTTCATCCAAAATTCAAAACTCATTCAAAAACCACACAAAATGAATCAATTCTAAAGAATTAAAATGTGGATGTTGAATTTAATAATTTGTCAGAAATACCCCTCTTACTCCTGTCTGCTTTAAAAGTCCTTTTTTAAATTTTAACTGGAAACAATATCAACTCTTTGCCCAGTAAACAAGGATAATTTGCTCCATCAGAGTATTATTTTATTGCATTAGCTGTTCATTGGAAGCTTTCAATGCATTTGATTGGGTTGGTAATACTCCACACAGGGGCAGCACGCACTGGGCCAAATACATGCCTTTGCAGGTTTTCTTTTAACAATACAGTAACAAAAAGCAGGAGGAGCAGGATTTTATTTCAACATTATGTGTGAAAAGTAGGTGAAATAAATTGTGACAAATCAATCAACACATGTTCCTAACATTTGTCTAAAATTCAGTAGGCCAATAAAACAGTAAACAGGCAAAATTAAATGTGGGCCTACAGTGTTGAAATGTGATTTATTTTTTCTTAAAAAATTATGGCTTTTTAGTTTTGCTCATTTTGACCAGATTTTATTATAATTCGTAATATGTAATAATATATTATTATTATTGTGTACCTAAAAAGAAAAAAATAGATGTTGTATTTAATAATTCAAGGCTTCCCAATTCAACATCCCAGAATATCAATATTTTCATTTTCCATCTTTTATTTTGTTTCTGCACAGGTTTGGTTGGACAAAGCAGTGATAAATATCCCTGTTGATCACTTGATTGATTACCTTGCTCAAAGGTCACGCTGGCGCTAGTAATTTCCTTGTGCCTGAGGCTCCCTTTTCACTTTTAGTCCGCCTCCACAGCCTCTAATACAGATCATGTTATTTTGTTAACCCCTTAACAGCTGACCACGCTACTACTGTAACGCAGTAAAAATACCCCAAACTTTTTTTTTAATGAAAGTGTCCTTGCTTTAAGCAACATTGAATAACACTCGTTTGGTAGCAGGTATATTTGTGCGTGAAGGTAACGGAAAGTAAAAGAGGTGAGGCAATCTACCCTGTTTGCAACCGTGCGGGTCTCGAACCCAATTAATTTCTAATAATTACAATCCACGGGGCTGTGGGGATCTCCGCGGCGCACCTCCCTGCCACCGGGTTCAGCGTATCATAATAAAATATGTATTGAGAAAGTGCTTCAGAGGGGAGAGGAGACGAGGGAAGAGAATAGTGAGTTATTGCGGGGAATGAAAACTGTTTCCATTTAGTCTAATTGAGCGCGCCGCCTGAAGCTCTCTCTCTCTCTCTCTCCCTCTCTCTCCCTCTCTCGCGCCACCTTCTCAGGCACGGTGTGTAGGCGCAACCCACTTAATAGCTTCATTTGTGTCATTACAGTCGAGGTAGAGCGAGATACAACTACAATAAAGTATTAATTGTAAACCTCTCTTAAGTCAGCCATAGTCTGTTGTGGATGTTGGGGTGTTATGCTATTGTCTGTATGCTAGCGCAGAGTTTGAGAGTTTATCTGTGTTGATATGATATGGCTATGTTTTTTCTCCCTTTTCTTTACCAGGGCATGATGTCTGGACTTTAATCAGTTTCAACACAGTTTAGAATCGATAGCTCGAGTTCACAACCCATTAAAGAGTTCATCTACAAGGTCAGCATGATCTCATGCGGGTCTAATTAATTGCCAATTACTGTAATTATGCTGTGTCTGTATGGGAACAAATATAGGCACCTTTATATCAATGCGCCGGTCTTATGTGTGGATGGAATTTTACTGTATTTTTTTCATATAGGTTTTTTGCAATAAAATACAGAGAATGGTAACAAATCATGATTTTTTTTTTTTTTTTTTTTGCATCTGCTCGTACGCTGGTATTTTGTTGATATATGACTCGGTATCTAAATATGCCTCTATAAAATGTTTATGTGATAACGGCAGACATGCAGTGATTTTATTGACTGTTAGTGCTTGGATGGCATGCCTTTATGAGTGTGGCCCTTTTCTTTAAATCCAAAACGAAAAGAAGTTGAGCCAAACATTATTCCACCCACTGAGATGAAGGTTTGGACAGAAGTCTTTCTTTTTTTTCTACTTCTTTTCTCTCTTGATAGAGCCGTTCTCCTTCCAAGTTAAATCAAGTGAAAACATCCTTTTCGAGCCTTCAGCAATTACCAAGTGATGAAATTTACGCACTGCAAAAGAAACGTCTCAAACAGGCATTACTTCTAAGCACTTAACATATTAATAATTGTCAGCACAAAGCGAGAGAGAGAGAGAGAGAGAGAGAGAGAGAGAGAGAGAGAGAGAGAGGAAAGAACCTGGGCACTCTCATATTAGAGCTGTCAGTCGGGTGCCCAAGCGGGAGAGGGGGAGGGGGGGGGGGGGGGGACGTTTTTCATTCATTTTCCAGTGCTCGGTATAATGGTCAAAACACAATTAAAATATATAAAATCTTTAATGACTATATCCAGCATTGGTAATTCAAGTGAACGTTGATTAATGTGACTTCACCTAAAGAGAAAGGGTGCACTGTAAAGATTGAGAATAAAGATCGTTGTAATTAATGTCCTAACTCTTGTAGATCCGGCGTGCTGCACTGCAAAAAAAAAATATCCATCGAAAGCTTTTCATTTACTGCTCATTGTAGAACTTATTTTTTTTCCTTTTGAAAAAGATCGACACATCTTTATTGCATTGCTTTGTAACTTGTTTTTGACTTGTGAGAAGACTTTTGTCCAATCTGACTATTCGTGTTGCCCTGTTCTGCCTTCATTTCAAATAAATAGTTCCGAGGTATAAGTCCTGAAATAAGTCAACGCTGCGCTGGACGCATCTCGTTTAGAAAAGTTCCTCACGTGTTAGATAAACAACAGGACTGACTCTGAGGCTTCAACGAAGTCGGGCATTTTTTTTTTTTTTTTTTTTTTTTTGCAGTGTTGCCCTGCTTTCTCGCTTAGTGATCGTCGGGAACTGTTGACACGAAACGGGAGAGATGTCCACGATTCACACGCATCTCGACCAGATCAGGTTGATATCAAAGTGATAAATCGTCCCAAACTTTTTCTGGCACTTGCTGCCGGCAGATCTCGGGCTGTGCGCATGTGCGAAGGTGTCCAGACTGACAATGCTGGAGAGATAGCGCGTTTGGATTGAGAAACCCAGAGAAAAAGGACAGAGAAAAAACAAAAAGGAGGAAAAAAAGATCCAAGAAAAAATCCAAACAAACCCACGCCGAGAGACTGGCACCATGAGGTCCAAAGGCAGGGCACGGAAACTGGCCACGAGTAGGTGCAACATCCCTTTCTTTTTTTCCTTTTGAAACATGCCATCTTTTATACCTATCGACTGTCGCTGTTATCACCGCGTTTATCAATAGTTTCTGTAAAGCGATTTCCTACTCCGCCAGCAAACCAGAATCCGCTCTTTCCCCTGTCAAGAGTGTCAAAACCGATAATATTCTCGCGAGGAAAATAATTAAACGCTGTCTCGAGAAGAGTGTGAACTTTAAAGTTTAGGCAGCGATGGAAGAACTTTCTGCAGGGCGTCCGCTCCAGCATCGGAATCGCTCGTTGCATGTAGTGGGCGCTGTAGTGTAATGTAGTGTATTGTAGGTTAAAAACCCCACGTCCCGTGCATCGGCAGTTGTATTGCGATTGCTTGCACGCTGCTGCTGCGGGCTGCCGGTCACTTCAGCTCGCTGGGAGCAACTTGGAAGAGGGAGTTTGATGGAGGGGAAATAAGGAGAAAACCAGGATTTAGACAGGCACGGTATATGCTGCAGGGGTCTTGTTTGTAACTCTTTGTGTTTGTGAGTCACGCAGTTCATTCCGAGCTCGTATTAATGTGTGATCTGTGTTGATTGTAAAATATGTCACTCTGAAAAAACAAAAACAAATTCACACTGTTTTAATTCTTTTGAAGCACGAGTGTTTTAGTTTACAGACTTTACACTCCGTGCTATTTAATTATTGCATGAGGCAGACTTCTTACTCTGTTGTATTTAGGATAAAATGATAACTTAAAATGTCCATTGAGTTTGAATAAATTAAGTGTAATATCACTCTTGTCATTAAATCGATTTAATGACTTGGACCCAATCAACTTTCTGAATGTATGCAAGGAGATGATTGATATGGCTATTCATGCATTGATTTGCTACAATAAATTATCAAGAATTATATATTTTTTTCTAAAGCTGTGTCAATCAAGCTTTATTCTACGTGTTTTTTTTAATTTTTTATATTTTTCATTAATGTTCTGCATAAATTCCTGTGCTCTGTTTCCTTTCGTTTGAGTTTTGAACGCTGACTTTTAATTGTTGAGGTTCTTCTCATTGCAAAACGCACACCATTAATCTAGAATTGTGTTGCAGACCTTTTGGAAAAAAAATAGGCAGACGGGTCAAAACAACATTTTATATGATTTCCATGAGAGTTTCAGTCACTTCAGTGTGTTCATATATGTCGTTTTGCATATAGACCTGTATTTTTGCATACAACAATATCGGCTACATGCAAACAAAATAGTTTATCAGCTGCAGCGAATGTCTAAACTATTTTAACAGTTAACGCCAATAAGCAGCAGGTGATGATGCACGTAGTCGTATGGGCATATAATAAGGTTAAGAGCAAGTTCCTATTTAAATGGTTTACTTCACGAGCACATGGCTAATACAGACATCCTGGTGAAGTTAATCAACAGAGCAAATGTGGATGTATAGAGCTGTTGTGATTCTATCCAATTTTTAGAAAATACTGTAACATTGATAAGACACACACACAGTCATCATACTCAACAACAACAGAAAATAAAACACTTGATTCTCTTCCTAGCGGCCCCCAAGTCTCTTTTTACTGTGCAACACAACACTTTTTTTTAGAATATCTTTTATTATAGAAACGCACGCAAAAAGAAACAAGCAACAACTGCATCGACGTATATCTTGCAAACCATTAAATACATTCTTTTGAATATAGGAGTATTAATTCCTCGTGTAATGATTATTATTCTCAAGATGGAAGACGGAGATGTCTACCTCTTCAGTCAGAATCGGGGGGGTTCTGTGTCCCCCGAGTAGCTGGCCCGCTCTGGCCCCCAGCCAGGTCTGCACAGTGTCAACAGTGAATATTTAAATTCCCAGACCCCTCATAAGAGCAATGCTGGTAAATGCGTTCAGTGTGTGCCTCCCGCCTGTCCGGAGAAGTCGTGTTAAAACGGGCATGTACGGGGGCCTCCTTGCAGAACAGTCGTGTGATAAAAAAAAAGGGGGTGGATGTAATAGAGGAGGTGATGGAGAGGTGGTAAACGTAAGAGTGATTGATGGAGGTTGACTGATTAGTCCGCACGTCCAGATGTAATGCGGTTCGCCACAAAAACTCTCTTTTGCTTCCCAACTAAGTATAGCCAAGGCGTGCAGGCCGCACCCCGCGGTGAATTGTGGGCTACAGGAGGGGGGGCTTTGATGATCCAAACTAGCTTGGTGTAGGTCTAATTAAAGGTCCGCTTAGCATATTTGTCTCTCAATAAAAAGAAACTTGATTACAATGTGTTTAGAGATGTTTGATAATTTGTTCGGAATAATTACGATGAATCACATAATCCACCTATATGATGTTGCGATTTACAGACCTCTAGCATACAGGCCAATGTTTTAAATCCATTGTTTAACGCAGTGTAAAGGATATATAGAGGGATCTATAGGAAAGTTCCATGAAAATAATTTGGAAGCTTAACAAGTGGCTATGAACCGTTCAGTGTGTGTCCCAAGGCACGTCATCATTTTTCACATTTACCACAATATTTAGTCAGTCATCACTCATTGATCCGCCTGTTTCCAAAAATATGGCTCATATGCCTTTTTAGATGCAAAGCTTACTCATTGGCACGACCGATCGGCACGCGAGAAGCTCTGAGTGCGTGCGTGCTTGAGAGAAGAGGGAGAGAGAGAGGCCTCGCGCGCCTCGGTGTCTCGCTGTCTGTCAGCGGCTCTCCTCTCCGGAGCTGAGAAGTGCGTCGTCCTCCTCACATTGTGCAATGGGCCATGCATCTCGCGTTTGTCTGGCGGAGCTCATTAAAACGGTTAATAGATCGGCCCATTTAAAAGGTGCAGGGAGCGGGCCGGCGCGAGGAAAGTGAAATAGAGACCCCATTAAACGGCCCTTGTTGTCCCGGAGCGGCGCTCTCTGCCTGCGCTCCGCTTGGTGCCAAAGCGCCGTATACAAATGTTCCATATCTCCTTCAGTGAGGGACTATGGGTCAAGAATCACAGGGGCCCACGGCAGAGCTTACTCCTCGCTGTTTTCTGACGCTTTTGTTAATCGTTGCTTTGAACTTGTTTTCTAATGCAAATAAATTACAATATAGCTAATTTATCTTATTATTTGCTTATTGGTTTTATTTTATTAAAGTTGCATTGAGTGAATTCATATCAAATCATAGCCCACTACCACATCAGTCAGTAGTTTGAGGCATATCTTAAAACCAGAATTGGGCAGATTACTGAGGCAAGGTCAAGTACTTCAGGAATGAATGTAGAATTAGGCTACTTGGTTTGTATTAAGGGGGAGAAAGAAAGTACTTTACAACTTGATTTTAGTCATTTATTTTCTGGCCTTGTAAGATTAAATCCTTTGCTGCACATTTTTTTTTCAGCAGTTTATGTGTTTGCTTTTGATGAAAGTGTGCGTATAAAATGCCCACTTAAACTTGAAGTCACATGAAATACTTGTGTGAATAGGCCTCAAAGCTCTTTGTCAGTCGCTTTTCAAAGGCGACAGTTTTTCTACTTCAGAGTCGTGGATGTGTAGCGATTATGTGATCAGTCTACAGAGGGGCAAAACTGTGAACAAGCACATTAATGAACAAATGGATGTATCGCTTATAATAGGAAAGCGGCTAAATGCTTGTCGAACCAGGTGTAAAGCATTTCACAGACACGTATGCTCACACACACGCAGCCTTTGTGGGTGTATCAGTTGTGTTTTGAGGTACAAGTGTGCGTCTGTCTGTGTGTGTGTTGGTGATTTTGGGGTGGCGGGGGGCAGGTGACCCAGGCCCTCTCATCTATCAACGCCCCCCATCTGTCTGACATGTCGTCCACTTTCCTCCTTTCTTACGATGGAGAAGCGTTCCCCCCCCCCTGCCCCTCCCTCTCTCAGAAAATGGCTCTTTTGGAAGGTCCCTGGTGTTAATGAGTCGTCCAGGACTCGATCTCATGGCTATAAACAGAGAGCTGATGAGGTTAGCGGTTTGTTTATGCACTGTTGTCACCCGCTTGAAGGATGGCCCCTATCCCAAGTAACTAGGGAGCCTCCAGGCCCCGTCATGGGTCCCCTCTCAGGCCCTGATGCAGTGGCCCTGCCCCAGGGGCTTCTCTCCCATCTCTACTCCCTCTTGTTCAGCTGCACTACCCGCTCTCCTTACTCTCAGTCCATCATGTATGTGGAGCATTTCATCACGCATTAAAGCAGACGAGCATTAGTTTTTGAATGCTGGTCCTAGTGAGAATGTGTTGTTGCGCTTATGGGTGAGGCAGTAATGATTGTATTTAAATGGTGGTGTGTGTGTGTGTGTGTGTGTGTGTGTGTGTGTGTGTGTGTGTGTGTGTGTGTTGCTGGGGGGTGGTGTGGTGCAGCGACCCAGACGGGGCAGTGTGGGAACACCAAGGGATGGATGGAGGGAGGGTGGAGGGTGTGCAGCAACATGTCAAGCCTGGGAACCGCTGTGTGTTTACCACAGGGAAACCGTACCAACACAGAACAATGAGCGAGCCTTACCCCTTCTAAATAATAAAAAAAAGAAAAGAAAAGGCATTTCTGCTTTCTTCTCTCCCCTAAAGGTCATGGAGTTAGAGATAGGGAGTCCACACAAAAGCCTCCAGTCTGTCGTCAGTCTGGTCTGGCCCAGTACGGTGCCAAAACTGAGGTCATTATCAACAGAGCAGTCCCAAGCTAAGCATATTTTTATAGATTGTGCTTGTGTGTGTGTGTGTGTGTGTGTGTTTAGGGGAGGTGAGCATGAGTGTATGTGCTTATTTGAACGAGCTGAGTATGTGCGAGTTTTAGTGCATATGCACAAAACAAAAGCGCTCCGCAGAGTGTACAGCGCAGTCGTCAAACGTGTGACATGCCGCCATTTTCTCATCTGAGATAAATGGAATTTTTGCTGAGTTGAAAAGTTTACCCAGACATCAAACTGATTTGTGTCGTTATGATGTCTGAGGAGTTATAATGTCAAGAGATTGCTGATGGTGCACTTTGCGCGGGCTATTAATGAGGCGGTGTGA